TTTTCACAAGGTTAAGTATACAGATTAAATTTTTGACATAAATATGAAGAACTTCACATTGCATGCCAAGCGATGAATGGATCAATACCGTATATTTTTCATTATTTCAACAAAATACTTTTTCGATCGTAGTCAAAATAGCTAGAAAAAATGACTTTCGCAAGCTTTGAAAAGCTCATAACTTCTATCAAGCTCTACCCAACCTAAACAATTTTGTTATATTTATACAGGAGGAGGTACCCTCTCCTTCCCACACTAAGATGCTTTCTTTTGGTCTTGTTCATCCAATTATTCTTTCTCGATCAACGCCTCTTATCTTTTGATCGAATCAAATTTGTCTGTGTATTATATTACGTAAGATTTACAAAGGAAGATATTTGCTTAATAGAGCCAGTCATCACATGATTTGACAATGTCCTTAAAGTATTAATGAGAAAGAATCAAGTCAAGTAAACATAAAAATAGCGAGGATCGTGAGCGAAAGAAGAAAAGGTAGAAGGCCACTCTTCCTCCCACAATCTTGACCGCTTTGTGACGGCGATGAAAACAGAGTGTCTTTCCAATTATTTTTGAAAGATTCAACTATATTTTAAGATATTTGCGTATAATTTGAAACACGTCATTGTACTGTCATGTAATCGATCTATTCTGATGAAATCGTCTTGCAAAATTCAGGTGTTCTCACATGTTGAGGCTGTAATTGTTTGGTCGGTTTTAATGACAAATATTTGTTTGTCTTATCTTGATTGCATTTATTTTCTTGAGATTGAAAAACAAGGTATTTTCTGCTTCCTAGAGAGAAAGAAAAATAAAAAGTGTATCAAGGTATTGATACTCGGTAAAGAAAAATGTTTGAAATCGCAATATATTGCTGAAAAAATCTTCGTTATATAAGTATACTCATTGGTAAAAAAAATTGTCTATTTTTATTTCGTGCCGATGGATGAATTCAGGCCATGCCTGTTCATCTTTCTTTTTCTGATTGCTATTGTCGAATGCGAGAATACTGATGGTACGTATAGGATGGCATTGCACTATCTGTGAGACATAAACTAAGAATATAGCGCTATAAGGTCATTTCTTTCTTTTTTCAACATAACACTGACTGTAATATTCGGCATCAAAAGTACACTGAGGTATACCTGTCAAAGTTACGTCCTGCGGCATATGTCAAACAATTCTACTTCATATTACCGTTCTGTACAAAATCTACTTTCATATTTTCTCGGCTGAGACTTACAGGCAGCCATTATCGATTTGGTTCTACCTGTCTGAAACACAGTTATAAAACCACTGCTAATCATATGTTTTGAAATTTTTCAACATTTCGATTACTGAAATGCAGAAACAGATCATTTTTTTTTTATCTAGGAGTCTACGTATGATTGTCTTTGTTTCTTTGAAAGATGTATTTCGATGTAGTTGATTAATCATTTCGTTGACACGAAACATTGGTAAGGTTTGTTTTGTGTTCAGGTTGGCCCATGAGTGCATCTGAGACAGTTCAGACCAATTGGACTTGTACTTGGTACGGTGTGGTTGAAGCTTATCCAGAGGGTGGGGTGTGGGTGTGAGATGTAGGTGTAAATGAGTAGAAGGTCACATTCGATTCCCACACCCACATATAAAAAAAATCAGTCAATTCTGAGATATCACTCCATTGTCGATGTCCTATGGTGATTGATTTTCTCAGATATCCACTCTTAAGGTTTATCAAAGTACACACCCACTACCACGTTTTTTGGGAGACAGGTGAGGTGTTCATCATAACCACCAGTATTTTCCAGTGTATCTTCGAATTTGATACCACGTTGCATCATTCAGACGATGATCATTTTTAGTTCTAGCCAAGCTAATTCTTGTCCAATACATGCTCGATGTCCACCACCAAATGGAATCATCGTCAATGGATGATGATTTTGATCTTCAGCTAAAAACCTTTCCGGTACAAATTGTCGAGGATCAGCATGATGCCAATAGCGA